ATAAAATTTTAAATGTATATGTTATAACCTTTTTATATCTTATTAATGTTATAACTAAAGTTATAACTCATATAAATATTTGCACCCTTAGAGCTTACTAATGAACAAATTCAAGAGGTTATAGATTATGAAATATCTTTAGAAAAGTTACCTCTGGTAACAGATCATGTGACTGAAATTTTCGAGACATTATGTTCCAGAAAAAATTTGCCTAAGAATACTCTACCAAAAACTAAGAATGATCAGATAAGTGCACCTATTCCTTCAACTCATAACTCTAATTCTTCAAGTAATTCCTTCAGGACCAGACCAGTATGAATGATTTCATCAGCCACACCTCAAGCAAGTGTATCACCTGTATCAATTCCTAGGACTAATCCAACTTATGACTGATCCTATTTCACAACAAAATATTGGATCAATACCCTAATTTGTACAGAGAATTTAGTAGTGAAAAATTTGATTATTATGGCATTACTGATGAGACATTATGCCTATTATGCAAGTTAGATCATAATGATGAAGAAAATATAAAAGGTAGATATAAGACTGGATCCTATTTTATTAAATGTAAATAGTGCGAAATTGAGATAACTGCATAGTCTCATTATTTTACAATATTATATTTGCTCACGCTTCATTGTGATATTTTTTACAGGACTAATTCATGTCAACTATTACCTAATTTAAATTAATTTGCAATCATAGAAAAAAAGTCAACATGTCCAAGTCTGATAAAGTATTAACCCCCAAATATCTGGATTGGCATGTCAAATTAAGTGGGTTACCAAGCGTTTTGACAGATAAAATTTGCTCTAATTTATATAAAACATATAAGAAAGAAACTGGATGTAAGCCATGGTAACTATCAGAAGCTATGACAAGTATATCAGAAAAATCTCAAACTTCTGATTTCAAGCCTATCATTTTCGAAGCAAAACCTGATCCAGAATTAATTATCAAGTCTGTCTTAAAGCATTTCACATACCTGAAATTCTAAAATAGTTTCAAAGGGATTGATAATTATAATTTTACATCACCTCAGCTGTAGAGCTCACTATGTCCTATTTGTGATGGAAAATATGGAAATTATAGATTACATGGCAAATGGTATAAAAATGAAATGGAATATTATCTTACTTGCTTCACTTCAAGCAATAAATTCAAATTCGCGATCGTAGCATAGAAACTCTGTCATGTGAGACTGATCACTTGAAATGCGCAGAAGATATTTGGTAAAATTCTTGCCAAAGAATAGGGGCTGTGCGACATGTAAAGTGCATATATATTCGTATTATTTTTTTTCAACTCCAAGTTGCATTTATTTTTGCATGTTATGTTTTCGACCACACTATTATTATACTAACAAAACAATATTCAAATATAGATATTTTTTGGCAATCATCATTTTGCATATAAGATTTGGAAATATGTATGCTAATCCTTCATTATTTTTATCGATTTGCAGGGGATTAACAAATGATAAAATGCAGTGTGTAATTGCTGGTGAAAATCTGGGGAATGTTTTCTTCTGCGAAATTTACAAGTGATATAAAAGACAGACCTTTTTTCAATTGCTTATTCTCTGTCTAACTGATTATTAATCAAAAGTGGGCAACATGTATACAAATCCTATCGAAGCTTTTGCAATTAATATTCTCAAAAATACAAATGTTCTTCCTGAGAATACTGTTTTTCCAGAAGTAGACCCATATTCGTTATGTGGAGAAGGTCTTTACTTACCTCAGAAATTCTTACCATTTAAAGAATTTACCTTAGCTTCGTGTGGGCACATCTATCACCAGAAATATCTCGAAAAGCATCTGGTGAATGGAGAGGCAATTTGTCTGAATAAGAAATGTAACAAAGTTATCGAAACTTTTCTTTCTTCAGAACCCTGATCATAAGACAAACCTTCAACTGCTGATGAAAATACTATCTCCAAGCCAGTGGATTCAGGAAATTAAACTCCCATGGATGATGATGTAACACTAATAGACAAATTAGTATTATTAGGCAAAGAGGAATAAAGTTCGTCCAAGACTACTAGGATCACTAAAGAAACTTTCGACTAGGCAACCAGCTCTATTGAGGTTGTTAGCATTACACCTGGTAATCCCAAAAATTTGGATGACTTGATTTCAAAGGACACTAGTGGTCAGATCTAACATCCTATATGTGAAAAATGCTCTGAAGAAATTTTTCTAGAATTTTGAAAAACGCTATCTTTTTATCCTGTAAGCATGCTGTGCATTATGATTGCATTGACAATCCACGTAAGAGATGTCTTACCTGCCCTTCATCTGAAATGATGTCAGAGGTAGTTAGCTTTACTAACACTGATCTAAGTGATACACAGAAAAAACGTACTAGGGATTCATCTACCGAAAAATCCTCTAATAAGAAAGTGAAAAAGACTGGTGGAAAGAAGGTATCGAGCATGCTAAAAAAACTTATTGAAGAATTATTAACTAATGTGGTACTAGATATAACTGGAGAGAACTTGGAAGAAGAAGCAAGTGAAAATGAAACCAGCAATTTTTTGCAACTATATGATAAGATTGATAGCACTGAATCTAAAAATGAAGATGTATCTCAAGGTCTTATTTACAGCTATTTTGATTTTAGGAAAGCTGTATTTAAATGATACAAGGAATTAAAACTCGACTATGGTAAGGATGGATCTCAAGCATTGGTTAAAAGTGAGGTTAGAAAAGTGATTTCTGAAGCAAAATGTTCTGATGAAGCTTTGCAAAAAAGGATGAAGAGAACTGAAAAGATTTATAAGCTTTTTAATAACATAGGCAAAGAAAAAATAGCGCAGATTAAAACCACTCCTCCAGGTTTCATCTTAAATCTAACTAAGGATAAAAAGGATTATGTAATGGCTGAAGACTTAAAACAGAAACTTCGTTAATGTCCTGCACATTTTTGCTGAGTCCAAACACGGTGTCCAGACTCTACCATTAAAAAAATAGTATTTCTTACACATGTATTTTCAAACATATATTAATAAAGCATTTGTAGTTAGCGTAATACTTTTATTTTAAAATGTATTCTGCATACATTAATATTTACTGCCAAGTCTTTTTTGCCGAACATCATAGAAAATAGTATTTCAAATAAAAAACATGGCTAATTTGCTGACTATTGCGCCATGTGATTAATTCTTTTTTTCTGCGCAATTAAGTTGAGTCTAGACACTATGTCTAGACTCTACCATCAGATATTCATATGCATAGTGCCTTCGGTTGTTTCGGGATAAATTTAACCAAGATATTAGGACAAGCTAACTGGATAGGTTATCTATCGCAGATCAAAGAAGGGAGTTTTGGAAGATAAATTTAACCGGATGTTGATCTTGCTTTTACGTAATTAAGTCAAGCCAGGACACGGTGTTTAGACTCTACCATCAGAAAAAATAGTTGTAATGATTTTCCCGAATAAAAGGCTATCTGGCTAAAGAAAAAATCTAAAATCTGATTAGCCGATCATCTCATAATTTATAGAAACTCACTAGCGCCTGGAACTCTCCTAGAACTATTGAGGAACTGGCAGGGATTTAGGGTAATACAAGTGATATGATATACACTACCCTATCAAAAATATCTAGTCAATCAATTTAAAAATTATATTTTATTATAATATTATAAATTTTTAATATTTAGTTGGCCATCCTTGACTTTTAATACATGCTTCTATCCGACGTGATATGCTTTCAATTAAATTAATATAAGTTTCAGATGGAATTTTTTTCTATTCTTCTTGCAATGCTTTTTCGAGTTCATATAAATTTTTTGGATATCCCGATCATTTTCAAAGTCTTCGTTCTAGTTCAAGCCACAATGTTCAATAGGATTAAGGTCTGGAGATTGAGAAGGCCAATCTGGAAGAATCTTAATCTTTTCTTTATAATCCAATTTTTGACATCCCTTATAGTATGAATAGGAGTATTATCATTCTGAAATGCATAAGGCTGTTTACGATGTTTAGAATGGATGAATGATAATAAATTTTTTTCTAAAATATCAATGTAAC